CCAGCACTGTTTCATATGCTAAAACCATAGTTATGAACAAAACAGATGAGAAATGATGCTGTCATAGCGCCAACAGTTCTAGGGGGAGAGCACCAATGAACAGATACAACAAACAGATGTCAGATGGTGATAAGTGCTGGAAAGAAAAAGAATTCACAGAAAGGGCAAAGGTTGCAACTTAAAGTAGGATAGATGAGAGAGATGGTGGCTTGTAAAGTAGTAACAAGTATGGAGACTGAAAGGTAGACAGATTCTAAATAGATTTTCATGTTAGAACCAACACTTTTGGCAGGTGGGTATGGGAGACAAAAAACGGAAGAGTCGGGGATGACAACAAGGTTTAGGGCTTAGCAAAGAGATGGTTGGACAGTTACCACTTACTGAGTTCAGGCTGTGATAGGAGCAGATTTTGGGGGAAAGGACCCAAATCTGTCTCTGCTCAGTTTGAGAACCATATTCAATTCAAAGAGTACATGCTTAGTAGTCAGTTAGTCATACGGCTCTGCAGTTCATAGTAGCCCTCCAGGATATAAATAAATTTGGGGGTTATTAGCATTTCAAGCACTGTGAGTAAGAAAATGGGGAATGAGTATAGAGAAAGCAGAGTATCAAGAAAGGAGGTGGTTGCTGCAGGGGGGTGTGTGTGGTGGAGAGTCTTTTTCCTACAAGGTGTGAGGGTAATGAAAATGAGGCTACAGAGAGGAAAAGATGATGCTGGACAGTGCAGAGAACTGCTTGAGCAATTGCTGAAGGGGTAGTTTCAAAGCCTGCTGAAATGCAGCACCCAGTCTCTGCAGGCAGGAAAGGATAGAAGCATTGAGATGCATAAAGGCCAGCGACGTAAGCATTGAAAACATTGTTCACCTTGAGAGTCAATGATAAAACTAACTCAAGCAATGAAAGAGGTCACTGAGGTATTTAACACAAAACCAACAGCCTACAAAATACATGTCTGATCATGGATTTGCATATAAAGAACTCTCAAAACTCAGTAATAAAAGAAAACAAACAATCCAATTAGAAAATAATCAAAAGAGTGGTTGCTAGAGGTAGGAGGTGGGGGGTGGGATATATGATTCCATTTATATAATGTTCCAGCAATGACAATTATAGAGGTGAGAGAACACATTAGTGATTATCAGAGGCTAGGGATGATGGGTGGGGGGAGGGGGTGTGGCTATTAAGGAAGAATTTTGTGGTAATGAAAGTATTCTTCACCTCTACTGTTCATGGTGATTATAGGATCTACATGTGTGATAAAATGGCACAGAACTGTACACACAGAGTGTACCAATGTCAGTTTCCTGGTTTTGATATTGTACTATAATTATATAAGACATAACCATTGGGAGGAGACTGGGTGAAGGTTACAAGGGGACTCTGTATTACCTTTGCAAGTTTCTGTGACTATCTCAAAATTGAACGCTTAATAGGGGGCACAAATGGTAATGGGAAAATATAATAAAATTTAAAAATGAAAAAAATGTTTAAAAGCACAATGTATCTTTGAAAGTATAACTTAAGACTATGGGATTTCTTAGAACTCAAGTCAAGCTAAATATATGGTTCTTTAATTTAAAAAAATGTATAGCCTAGTACGTAAGTGTTCATAGCAACTTTATTTGTAATAGCCCTAAATTGGAAACAACTCCAATGTCCATATACATACAATGATACACCACTCAGCGATAAAAATGAATGAACTATTGGAACATGTAATATAGATGCATCTGAACATAGTTATGCTGAGTGAAAGAATTCAGACAAAAGAGAGTACGTAATGTATGACTTCCTTTATAGAAAAGTCTAGAAAATATAATCTATAGTGACAGAAATCAGTCAGTCATTGCCTGAGGGGTACTGTTTGTGGTGAGGTGAGAAGAGGCAATTACATGGAGCAAAAAGGAACTTTAAGGGATGATGAATTTGTTTACTATCTGTGAGGCAGGAGACAGCATAGGAAGAACTCTGAGGCTGGCCAGTGTCTAGCATCATGGTTGTCAGGAAACACGTTTTTGCACTTAGATAGAATGAGTAGCAAATCAAGGCAGGGAGGAAGAGGGAGACATGTCTCACCCACTAACTCAGCAGCCCTGAGCCTGGTCCGATAATATTGCCAGGTGTTCCAGCATCACAAGGAACACTGCTAGCAAGGAAGGAGAGAAGTCCTTGAAATGCTGTGTAGCACTTCCACTGTCTGGAGAAGAAAGCATTGAAACTGTGCTTTCATCCCAAGGCCTTAAATGTGGGAGGTGGCCCACGGTGCCCAAAGCAGCAGCCCATAAATAAATTTGGATAACAGCCCCAACTTTAATTAACTGCCTCCTGTCATGTGTCTGTTTTACAACAGGATGAACAAATGGAGTCTGGAGAAAGATAAGGATTCGGGCTAGCAGACTCCTATACTCAACTTTGGGCAGTCATGTCCCCCTGGGAAAGATGGCACAACATTTATCTGTCAATCAATATGTAAGTTCTTAGTCCCATTATGCCAACTATGTAAGTCCTTAGAACAAAGGACTGGCTCTCAGCTCTCTGGCCAGCCAGGGGCTTGCCACCCCAGCCTTTAGCTGCCCTTGCTTTTAGCCACCCTGCTTTGCCCTGAACCTCTGCCTTTCACCCCACCCCCCTAGCTAGGCCTGTTCTCTTCCATGGGAACGGATCACTAATAAACTCTGATTGTACTCTAATAGATTTGCTGATATGTAATTGTTTACATGCTGATCTGTAATTGTCTATATGCGTCAGTAAGAAGAACAAGTTCTCTCTTGTCAATACCTTGATTGTGGTGATGATTTTATGGGTATATTGAGATATATATCTAGATATATATCTATATATATCTAGATATATATATACATACCTATACCAAATACATATATATCACAAATTACCAAATTGTGTACATGAAATATGTATGGTTAATGGTATGTCAATTATAATTCAGTAAGATTTTAAATAATCATTAGCTTACACAAATAATAACCAGTTAGAATATATCATGGAAAAGAACACCCCATTTACAATAGCTAAGAGCAATACTTAAGAACCAACCTAAGAAATGTACAAAACCTTGAGCTCTTAAATGTAGAGCTCTTTCCTCTTACTCCTGGGTCCTCCTCTATCTATCAAGAGATCAAACCCCCTTTCTTTAAAACTTCTGCAATAAAATTTTACTTCTGTAATAAATTTTGATGTGCCCCTAGCAAATGTGACATCCCTTCTTTAGCACCTAGTGTTATTTACATGGTGCATAGGATTGAATCTTCACATAATGGATACCTCTGGTAATGTAACTTCAAGTGCAGAGCAGTTCTATAGAAATTACACCTTTGGCTTGTGCTTTCCTGTTCCTGCTCTCCTTCAATAGCATGCGGACTATTCTCACAGAGTAGGAAGAGGAGTTCAGGTATGTCTTTGGTAGGAGAAGTAAAATGTTTTAAAGTAGTGTCAGCATCTATTAGCTTACTTCACACTTTCTCTCAAATTAGGCAGAGTAAGGGAAAGTTATCTATATGCTTCTCCTTGCTAAGATGACAAATCTCATACACAAGAGTCCTATGGAAATGGGACCTGCAGACAGAGTATCACACAGGGACGTGAATCTAACTCTGCTAACCACACAGTATTTTTAGTTAGATGTCACTTTCAAGAGTTCTTCACAAGGGAAATTTTTAATTGCTAGCAATGCACACCATTTGGGAATACAGATTTCAAACATACATCAAAAAGGTAGGCAAATCTGGGTCAAAAGGCAGTTCCATTTTTAGCTTTTTGAGGAAATTCCAACCTGTTTTCCACAGTGGCTGCACCAGTCTGCATTCCCACCAACAGTGCGCTAGGGTTCCCTTTTCTCCACAGCCTCACTAGCACTTGTTTGTGGATTTATTGATAGAAGTCATTCTGACAAGTGTGAAGTGATACTTCATTGTGGTTTTAATTTCCATCTCTCTAATGGCTAGTGATGTTGAGCATCTTTACATATGTCTATGGGCCCTCTGTATGTCCTGTTTGGAGAAGTGTCTATTCAGGTCCTTTGCCCATTTTTTCATTGGATTGTTTGTCTTCCTGCCATTGAGTCAGATGAGTTCTTTATATATTTTAGAGATCAAACCCTTGTCCAAAGTATCATTGGCAAATATGTTCTTCCATACAGTTGATTCCATTTTCATTTTGCTGATGTTTTCTTTAGCAGGGCAGAAGCTTTTTAATTTGATGTAGTCCCATTTGTTTTTTTTTTCCTTTATTCTCCTTGCCCTAGGAGATATATTGGCAAATATATTGCTACGTTGGAGATCTGAAATTTTCCTGCCTATGTTTTCCTTTAGGACTTTTATGGTGTCATGACTTATATTTAAGTCTTTCATGTATTTTGAGTTTATTCTGATGTTTGGTTTAAGTTCTGCTGAGAATATACCCTAAGAACCCTGAATTGCCAATTCAAAAGGACTTACGTACCTCTATGTCCACAGCAGTCCTATTTACAATAGCCAAGTGCTGGAAACAGCCTAGGTGCCCATCAGTAAATGAGTGGACCAAAAATTGTGGTACATTTACACAATGGAATACTACGCAGCAGAAAGAAGGAATTCCTACCTTTTGTGACAGCATGGATGGAACTGGAGACTATTACGCTAAGTGAAATAAGCCAGTCGGTGAAAGACAAATACCATATGATCTCTCCTATAAGGGGAATCTAATGAACAAAATAAACTAACGGGCAAAACAGAACCAGAGACATGGAAATGTGGAACAGACTGACAGTGACCAGAGGGGAGAGGAGAGGGGGTAATAGTGGAAAGAAGGGGGACTAGTGAAAGAACAATTCTGAATGACCCATGGACATGGACAACAGTGTAGGACTGACTGTGGCAGGGTGGGTTGGGCAGAGGAGGACAAAGGGGGAAAAATTGGGACAACTATAATAGAATAACAATCAAAACATTTTAAAAACAGTAGGTAAATCTGTGAAAAATTTTAAAAACAGCCAATATACTTACAGTTTTTTCATTATTTTCAAAAGCTTCTCTTGCTTCCTCGAATGTGCAGACTTCTTCTTTGCATTCACGTTCAATGTTGCCCTGTCTTATTTCTTCAAAAAGTCCGTTTGCTCTTGGGTAGCGTTTTAGTACTGAATTGGCTTTTTCTCCAGTGAGGAAAACTAAAAAGAGATACAATAATAAGTATAAAATTGTAATAAAAACATGTGGAAAGTTAATATACAAGGTGAAAACTGCTAGATGCTCTTTAGAAAACAGAGCCAACATCCTAAACCTCTTTCTGTGAGTCAGCAATGAAGTAACATTTCCATTTAGCTCCAAACCACCACATCTGCCATCTTCCTCATCCTGTGAGTATGTCCTTTCAGTAGCAGTTGCCCTGGACCAGGGACAGTGACATAATTCATTATAATAAAATAAGTAAAATAAATATGTTACATTCACAGTTTAGCACATTCCTGCCAACATGGGTGTTTAAATATAGTAACAGTGATACCACCACTCATAACTATTAGTTAGTGGATACCCCCAGGCACTCTGCTGTTGGACAGCAGCAAGCAAATCAAAATCCAGTTTGTACATCATCAGTCTTTGTCCCTAACTACAAACAAATAAAATTCCAATTGACCTAATAATATAAATCCAGAGGACCCTTACTTGTATGAAAAAGAAGAGGTGACAAAACAATATCAAGAAATTAAGATAAATTGGCCATAATTCATTCCAAGGAACACTACTAATAATTTTGTTCTAAATTCAATTAAGTTAAATTGTGACCTTGAATATATTTCAACTCCATTTCACTGTCCTTCAGAAGAAGAAAATTCTGCATGACTTACAGAGGCATTTCATATAAACATTCAAAATGCATTTATGATACCCAATAAAATAAATAAGGCAAGAATTATATGCACAGTTATGGGGAATTATTTTTATTTTACAAACAGATTCAGTTAAAACTATACTTCAATTACATTTTTCTACAAGTGTCATGCTTCTTTGCAGAGATAAATACAATGCTACTAGAAATTAATCTCCACTAATGCAAAGAAGTTAGAAAATCCCCCAATCTGATAGGCTCCTGACATGGGCAAAGGCACATTACAGATACTTCAAGATGTTTTAAAAACAGACTGACAGTTGTGGGAGGGGAAAGAGGGGATGGGGTGAAAGAAGATGAAGGAATTAACCAAACAACATTTATGCATGACCCAGGGACACGGACAACAATATGGGGACTGGCTTAGAGGGTGGGGCTGGGTGGAGGTGGGGAAAGGGAGGAAAAGCAGGAACAACTAATAATATAAACAATATAAAATGTAAAATAAAGAAAATCTATATTTTGCAAAGAACATCTTGAAGTAAATGAAAAACAGTAAATGCTCTTTGAAAAATGGCGACAACAGCAACAAATTTAAGGTTTACCTCATTATAGAGATATGTCTTTCACTTTATACAAAATAGGGATTTATTACTGAGGATTATTTAAAGTATCCAAATTGGTACCAGCTAGATGGCACTTATACTAGGTTAAAAATTATGGCCTTCCATAAGTGTTTCCTTCCTTTTGTACCTCAGAAAGGTAACCATCTATAAAAGTGAATCAGAGTGACAAAATATCACTAGAAGAAATCTTAAAAAATACGCCCTGGCTGGTGTGGTTCAGTGGATTGAGTGCTAGTCTGCAAACCAAAGGGTAGCCGATTCCATTCCCAGTCAGGGCACATGCCTGGGTTGGGGGCCAGGTCCCCAGGGGGGCGCTCAAGAGGCAGCCACACATTGACATTTCTCTCCCTCTCTTTCTTCCTCCCTTCCCCTCTCTCCAAAATTAAATAAAATCTTTTTTAAAAAGTAAAAATTATGATAAGTTCTATGAAGGAAAATAAATGGTGGTATTGAGTTGAAGAATACCAGTAGAATTTTCTAGCAGTCCTTCTCACAGTTTAGCAGCATCAGAATTCCCTAGAGGACTTACTATCACAAAGATTGCTGTGCCCATCTCCCAGAGTTTCTGATTCCATAGGACTGGGTAGGGCCAAGTTACACTTTAGTAAGTTCTCAGGTAATGTTGGTGCTGCTGGTCCTACTACCACAGTTTGAGAACCACCAACTAGGAGCCTGGCTGGGTACCTGGGTAGCTAAACTGGTTTGTGTGTCAGTCCAATAGGCCAAGGTTGCCGGTTCAATCCCTGGTCAGGGCCCATACAAGAATCAACTAATGAATGCATAAATAAGTAGAACAATGAATTGATTTCTTTCTCTGTCTCATCAATTAAAAAAAGAAATGGAGAACCACTACCCAAATGTGAGTTCCTTAGAAAACTAGTTCTGAGGAAAGTGTTTAGAGAATGCTGGGATTAACATATTTAAAAAGGTATTTTACTGTGTGAATTTTGGGGTCCTTAATGTATATTTACTATATATTTGTAAATCTCCAGAAAAGGAACATGACACCTGCCTTTGTCATATTTATTTGACTATAGCGCCCTCTTTTGAGGGACATTCCACGGAATTAACAAATACCTAGCCCTCTAAATTATTTATGCCCTCTAAAATGACAAGTCTGGTCTCTATATATATCAAGGCCAACAAGTACATAAAGACAGTAACTGATTTCTCTTGGTTCTTCTATTTTCCAGGATAAACAGGCCTAGTTCCTTCATCTATTGGTTATATAAAATGTACAGGAGTCTCTGTGTCATCTTTATCTCATAAAATACAGTATTCTACACTGAGTGCAATACTCTAAGTGTAGTCTGACAGGGGCAAAATGGATTGGGCCTGTCTACTTCCTTCGTATAAAACACAATAAATATGTTAATGCAATCTAAGATATCCCTGGCTTTGGGGACAGTTTTCTTGAAGATAAATCAAACAATAATAACGTATTTTGCACTTTTAAGACAAAAAAGTGAAATTATCCTAAGAGAAAATAATTTTCTTATATGCTATCTACATGGAAAAGGGGAATCAAGGAATGTAGCTAACTCTTGTAAGCCACAGAAAGCAGGCTAATTCAGGTTAAGCCACTAAAAAGTAATGCAGCAGGACATAGATCTTCCAATCCCAGCCTAATCAAATCACCAAGACCATTACACAAACACCTTTAGTGTATTTCTTATACCGAGAGGCAAGGTAATATAATAGTGAGAATTCTCCTTAGAATAAGCTGGCAAGTAGATTTTATGTCACTTGCCAAATCTGGTCAATTAGAAGAACAGCCTGGAATAAAAATCTGACTAGGAAGAAAGATACTGTTACAGATTAGTTATGTCTACCATATAATAGGGAACAGGAAGTTGTGGCAGAGTACTTACTAGTCCTCATCGAAGTAATTTTTAAATCTAATGGATGATAACAGAATTAGGGTATTTTTAATGTGGAAACAAAATAAAGGGGAAAGTGGTAGCTTGGACCTACAGAATAAGATTAAATTAGGTTATCTCTTTCTAAAACACTAGGTAATTTCCATGATGCAAGGGCTTGTGTTGGAACTTCTAACATTAAAGCAGTGATATTTGAAACTAAAGTTCAGCACTTCCCTCTGCTTCCTTCTCATCAAATTGTATGAGTTAGCCAACACCAAGCAGCTCTTCGGCCACTACACCCCCACCTGGAACCGTATGTGCCTTCATCAGAGATTACATGATGTGACAAGTAGTATACAGAATGTGCATATACTTTGAGAACACAACACTGGGGAGTTATTCAAAATATGTACTTTTCTCATTAAAGGAAATAAAGACAAACTAAACTGTTTTCTTTAGATAGTTAGGGAAATCCTTATTAAAGAAAATACTTAAAATCTAAGACTGATACACACACATACAGCCACTATATATATATATATATATATATATATATATATATATATATATACACACACACACACTAAAAAATATTACTACTTTTTCATAATTTCAAAATAAATAGCTGTCACCTATGCTTTCTCTTCAAAATAAAATGATAAAAATAGATAAAATAAGATGGTTTCTCAAGGAACCCCCTAAATTACTGCCTTAAATCAAACCACGCAGTTGTATACTATACTTTTTAATGACTTGCAGGATACTAAGAGTCATATTTTAATGACAAAAATCTTTAGCCAAGTGAAATCATGTCCATACATTTGCTGAAAAGCAGAAGATGATAAGGTCTTAAAAATTAACAGCTGACTTGGAAAAATCTCTACTCCAATTGTCTAATCAGTTTTCTCAACTTTGGTCTTATATCAATAAAGGAGTCACTATTTAAAGTTGCACATGTTTACATTTTTAAGTGAAAATTCTTTTTCTTAAGACATATTTTCTGAGCACAGACTATGTACAATGAGATGATGACAAGTCACAAAGATGAATAGCAGATGGCCTCTGCCCTCAAGTTTCTTCAGTGCAAGAGATAGGAACTTAAAAGATGCACAAAGAGCTCTACTGCAAGACTGAACATGGTGGATGCTTTTTGAGGTCAAAGGGCAGGCATATTTCTACTGGATAAGTGTGTTTGGGGTTGGGGGAGGGACCTGTAGAAGGACCCCAAAGAAGTGTATTTGAGCTGGCCATTTAAAGATTGGAAGGAATAGGACGAGGAAAGACATTCTAGAAAAACAAAACAGTAAGAAGGCTTGGAATTGAATAAAGCAAGGGGCATAACTGAGGAACAGTGAGCTGGTCAGTAGGGCCAGAGTACAAGACTCAAAATAGAAAGAGTAGGAAATTAAGCTGGAAACAGGTCAATAGCCAGGTCACGGAGGCACTCAATGTTAGGGTAAGATATTTAAACTATTTGATAGCATTCAAGATTTTAGGCCAATTCCTCAGGGAGAATAACTTAGAAAATTATTTTATATATTGATATATAGTTTTACCTGGCCTTTAGCCTCTTCCCCTCCATCTTCTCCTCATCCTACCCCAAAACAGAGGAGGAAAGACTAGGTAAAAGGCCACTTAGAATAGCTTAGGTTAAGAAATCATGAGATCGTGCATTAGAATGGTGGTAATAGGAATGGAAAGAAAGGGACAAATGTGAAAGATGCAGACACTGGGTGATTTCTTTGGCCACTACAGCCACCATGCAACTTATTTCTCAGTCAGACCAAATTTTACCATTCTCCAAACAGGCTCTTTAATGCCTCCATAATTTTGTACCTAATATTTCCTCTGCC